TAAATCAGACCCTGTCTCCCTCCACTGCTCTAAGCCATCTGAGTTTTCCATTTCTCTCCCTAGTACCTGTAAGTCCGTGGTACTTTATTCTGCCCCCAATCACCCTGCTGAACCCCTCACTTTTCCCTCTCCTTCTCACTCATTCCACCTCACCACACTGATCTTTCAGGTGGTCCTCAAACATGCCAGCTCCGTCTAGTCCTTCAATGTCTGCAAGGACTGTTCACATCACTCTTCCCAGAGATGCCTGCACATCTCGCTCCGTCACCTGTCACAAATTTTGTGCAAACGTCCCTCGGTGAGACCTCCGTTGCCCACCTACTAAAAACCGCTGCCCCATTCTAGCACTAGTGCTCCCCACGGCCCTCACTCAACTTTAGTTTTCTCCACATCACTTGTATTTACTTATAATAACCTACAATATTTATCTCCCTCCGTTGAAATGTAAGGTCCATAACGGTAAAAATTTTTGTCTGCTTTATTCACTGTTCACATAATGGTGGCTAGGAAATACTCACTAAGCATTTTTGAATGACTTATGTTCCATATAACCCTCAGGTTCCATTCAACTGTTTAAAGGAACGTGAAAAGTCTGTTTTTGCTTATAAAAACATATTTTAGTGATACAATCATTGACTGACACTAAAATATTTGCAAACAGTATTATCAAATATAAACACATTGGAGAAACCAATATATTAAAATATGATCCCAGATAAACTTGCTTATGGACCTCAGATTAAAATTTCTGTATCTGTTTAATTGAATGGTACTCCAAAAATCTGAGTATAATTTCTCTTAAAGTGAAATATTTAAAATTCTTACAGCAAAACCACTGAAAGGCAAGGTATAGGAAACCAGGAATATAATAAAAACTTGCTAATGAAGTAACGGCAGAATAGTTAGCTTATATTTTGTATGAATATTTATTCACTGTCATGATATTTCTAAGTTTCAAGTTACGTAATTCTTTGCTTTTGTGTTCAAATGTACACTTTTCACACTTAAACCTTCAAAAATAAGTTGCATAAATTAGTTGTTTAAAATATTAAATTCATCTGCCCCGACAAAATTCCCAGCTAATTCAGTCATTTAAAGATTTAGCATTTAAAGGTTTACCTTACTTCAAGGCTCCTGGGTGGCTCAGTTGGTTAAGTGTCCTACTCTTGGTTTCTCGGCTCAGGTAATGACCTCACGGTTTGTGGGATCAAGCCCCAAGATGGGCTCTGTGCTGACAGTGCAGAACCTTCTTGGGATTCTCTCTCTCCCTCTCTCTCTGTCCCTCCCCTGCTCTCACTCTCTCTACAAATGAACATTTTTAAAAAAGATTTAACTTACTTCTAAAACAGATTGCACTTTTCTCTGTGAGAAGAAAACTAGCCAATTTATTCAAGACTATTTATGTACAATTATAATTTTATTACACAATTGCCTTGTTATTCAGAAACAAGACAGTCATAATAAGCCATTAAGTCCTACAATACAGCCATGAATTAACAAATGTAACTGAGAACCACTAAATCAATGAGTAACGACCGCTACATACTTTGCTCAGTTGTTTTAAAAACAATTCAGCTGTATTTGTCAGATATAGGTCTATTACATGCAGCGAATGTCATGACAGCAGGCCTGATAGGCATACACAGAAACTTATTGGCAATTAATTTGTATTACGTCCATGGCAGACAGGGGGGAAACATGGTGGGACTGACGCTGCCATCCTCAGAAAAGCCTGTTTGTGCGGTTGGCCTTTAGCCGGTGCCTGACAACTTGGATTTTGGGAGTGTTCCCACCATTCCCTAATTGCTAAGAGTGGCTCACCGTGTCTAAACTGTTTGTGCAAACCATATGGTTTATGCTGAACACCTGCTTTCCTTCTGGGAGTCTGAAATTTTGGTAATGCTAACCAAAGGATGCCCATGTGACAAACTCCTCATAAAAACTCTGTTTCTAATGGGTTTCCCTGCTGGACAACATTTCACACATGCTGTCATAGTTCAACACTGGAGGAATTAAGCACATCCTGAGCGACTCTATTGGGGAGAGGACTCTTGGAAGCTTGAGCCTGGTTTCTTCCGAACCTCATCTCATGTGCCTTTTTCCTTTGCTGGTTTTGCTTGTGTCCTTTGCCTGTAATAAATCTTAGCCATGAGTATGAGTATGTGATGAGTCCTGTGAGTCCTCTTAGCAAATCACCAAACCCAGCAGGGGTTGTGGAGATCCCTGCCACAGTTGCAGGTGCAGAGTTCTTCTCCGTAGAGCTGTACCTTAATGCTCTGTATTTCTATATATTTTTCTATATATTCTCTGTAGAGCTGTACCTTACTGCTCTATATTTCTTAGAGTACATAGCATAACCTTATACATAACAGATATGAATCATGTTTGGAGATTTTATATACTACCCTCCTAGTCTATCCAAAATAGCTGCATTTCCACTTCAGCGTTCGTCAACATTGGTGAACTACTAAATGGCAAAAATATATGTGGCAATAATAGCACCATTCAAACAAAGGAAAAGTTTTTGGCAGGTTCGAGTAACACAGTTGGATAGATTGATTACTTTGACCATCTGCAGTCTACAGCCCTCCAATTTGTTTTACGAATGTTTTGGTAGTTTTCTGCCTGTAGACATCCTAAAGAATATCCAAAGTATTCTTAATTTGATTTTATCGTCAGCTCACATTCTTTGGGATTCAGCAAAATGTGACATATTTAATTGCATGTGACTGACAGAAGTCAGGCAGTTTTTCAAGCTTCTGTGTTCACTACTGCTCTGGAATGTTTCAAAGAAGTGAACAATCCATGCTTCCTTATGCTTTATATAATTTCTTTAGAAGTAACCCCACCTGGGGCACCTGGGTGGCTCAGAAGATTAAGTGTCCACCTCTTGATTCTGGCTCAGGTCAGAATCTCTCCGTTTGTGACTTTGAGCCCCACTCAGGGCTCTGCACTGACAGTGAGGAGCCTGCTTGGGATTCCTTCTCCCTCCCTCTCTCTGCCCCTCCCTCCCTCCCTCCCTCTCTCTCTCTCTCAAGAATGAATGGATGGATGAATGAATGAACATTAAAAAAAAAAAAAAAAAAAAAAAAAAAAAAAAAAACAAAAACTAACCCAACCTCTTGGCCAGAAGATCAAAAAGACTGCAGCAGAAGACACTGATACAGAAGAAACATTAAAATAAGGTAAAAGAAGACCCAAAGGCTGAAAGGAGTTAGTGGGCAGGAGGATACACCTAGGTTAAAGACCGATCCAGGCCACCCCTGTACATCCCTGTACAGGCCACCCCAGTACATCCCAAGAGTACTTTCTTGGTCTTGAAGTGTCATAGCAATAACAACAAAAAAAGCGTTACTATATTTAAAGCAAAATTCATTATCAAACATGGAAACTTTGTATCAAATGCCAACTGTACAATTCAAAAAAAGCAACAAAACAATGAATTTTTACAAAACAGCAATTCAGGGACTCTACCTCTCATGGACTATTTCCAGAAGAGAAACTGTAACATTAGAATGCATACTTGACTAATATATACATATGATCTATAGTATATATATGACAAACTATATATTACATACAACATATATGACAAGTGATATTACTAACATAGAAAATAGAAATCATTAAATTACTAACATAGAAAATGTAAGTCATTAAATTAGCAAAGAGTCAAACACATGGAAAAAGTCACGGGGTGGAAGTAGCCTCCAGAGGTCATCAAAGCATCTTCCTTTTAAAACACCACACGTTGGTTAACTCCCAGATCCAAGAAAAGCAATGATTCTGCCATCACACTTGATGGAAGAGAATTTCTGTTTTGGCTTTTGGGAAGTGGGGATACTGGGAGACAGGACATTCTAGAATTCTCCTTAAGTTCCATTCCCAACATAGTTAGTGATCATTGTGCTAACGTCTACAAATGCACTTTGGTAATTTACGTCAGCAGCTCTATTCACCGTCAATATCACTGGCAAAAGAAGAATATTATGAAGTTTCATTTTCTATCCAAATCAGTTGATCACTTGCTTTTCTGTTGATACATGTCCTACCAACAGTTTATGATCTTGTCAAAGTTTATGTAATAACAAGATCAGGATTTTCAATTCTACATCTAATCTCTAGGTCAAGCTACCTTTACTCATCAAATCAAAGTGAAATTCCAAAAGAAAACGTGAGGAGTACTACTTTTCTTTTCAGAAAGAACACAAAAAAGCCTATTTTATAAAGACAAAGATTGTCATGTTGACACCAGTTTAACACAAACACTGCTTAACTGTCACCCAAAAGCTGAGATTTTTCTTGTTTCAGGTTATAGTTTTCACTATTTTGAAATCGTAAAGTTACTGCGACTTTATAGAAATCCACTGTAGAATAAGGATTATGTAATTGTAAATAAAAGTTAAATTTCAGAAGTATTAAGGTATGTAACAATGAAACATTCGAAATGCGATCTGCTACTTAAGACAAACTTTAATTCTGTTTAAACATAAGATGAAATGTGCAACTCAGACTAAATCAGTGTATAGTAAAAACCAATAGTGTATATATAGACAATGAAGGTATCATGGAAACTGGTTAAAAATTATAATGAAGAGAGAACTAGTAAGAATATAGCAACCTGGCTGAAATTGATATTCATTAGGGTACTCGTCACATCAATAGGGAGCATTTGGACTCTGTGGTCTTTATCAGTGTCCCAGCTGGTAATGGTTGAAGGTTAATGCCTTACCCCATTCTGTTCAATTTTCTATCCTAATTAGCCCTCCAAATCTATAGCTGTGAGCACCAAGTGTCTGTGCTCAAAAGAAACTAATTAATGCTAGCAAATTAGATCAAGTCCAAAGATCCAACAGCCAAACTCTTAGTTAAATGCTCCTTGTTAATAGGAAGTGTAGCTGTCAATAACTGCTGTTGGTGACTATAATGAGGCATCTTTCTTTCATTGAAAGTGATTTCATTTCTCTTTGTCCCTGGAAAAGCTGTTCCATTCCCTTCACAAACCTAAGTTGCTGGCAGTCTGACCCAATTCTTATGATCAGCTGGGTTGAAATGACATGCAAAAAAAATCAAACAGAAAAGCTTTCATACATAATCAGGTTTCAGGCACTTAGCAGAAAGTCAGATCACTTATTAAAATTCCTATATCTTTATCCAAGAACTATACAATTAGCACACATAATGCTTTTATATAAAATCCTATAAGTATTTAATAAAGCAAAGGCCGTAAACAGTAAATAAACTACAAGGGAAGTGTCCTGATTCTAAATTACATCTTATTGTTCAGTTCAAATGCAGCTGTTCTGCTACTACTTAAGCATATGATACAGTGTGTGTTCTTTACTAAATCACATGGTTAGGCAGGAAGAATACTAAAGATTATTGTTTATAAAATAATCAGTTTTAGATTCTCTAACTCTGTTTTGGACCACATGGCCTAAAAAAAAAAAAATCAATATACGATTATATAAAATATTCAAATATTCAAAAACCAATAGTTAAAACATGTTCTCATAGAGACAAATGCATTGAGGTAACCCAAGCAGACCTCAAATTTTAAGATGCTTTCAGTCTTCTGAAGATTTTAAGCATATTTAAAAAAAACAAAAGCTTAACCAAGGCAATGCCTGAAAAACTTAACTTTTGATAAAGAAGTGATGAATCACTAAATTCTACACCTGAAACCAATTTTACCATATCTGTAAACTAGAATCTAAATATTTAAAAAGTGAAGAGTAAAAATTTTTCTGTAGCATTATGATAGTAGTTGTGCAACACAAACTAATAAATATTTTAAACTTATACTCTCTTTCCTTCATTTCAAAAACCAAACACACAGTTACATTGACTAAGAGTAAGCAAAGGCAGTTCTGAAACCCAAACTCTAATTATTCTGCATTTTCATCTGAACCATGTGAGTAAAACCTCAATCTATAATTGAATTAGCTAGGTTTATTTCATTCTAGATATCAGAGTAATGTGTTAAAAACACCATAAATATAGCTCATATTCATCACTTTGGACCAATTATCAGTAACGAGTAAATTTTCCTAGTAGTGACAAGTTAACCCTGTAACTTCATTACACGTTGTAAATTTTTTTCCTCCCTCACCTGAGTCAGGATATTTAGTTAGTTATTTTTTAAGTTCTGAGGCAAGTGGAGGATTACCTCTTGAGATGATCAGCATGACACCTGCCAATGCCAGCGTGGCACCAAACCCTGTCTGCAGGTGGCAATGGGTTAATTTCTCCTGACACCTGGGGGTGTGGGTGGAAGGGAGGTGCTCTGATTAAACAACTAATTCATGGTGAAAGCAAAGCTAGTATCGCAGAATGATACTATCAACTTATTGATAATATACTTATTTATGGATGGATTTAATTTAAATCTAATTTATGAATGGCTCTCAAACTGGAATAGGTCATAGGAAGTCATTTAAGAAACAGAAATGATCATCACACAAGGTCCGCTCTGAGAAATTACTCTTTCATGCTCCCATCGATTCCAAAGGTCATTCTCAAAGAAGAAGGGCATCAAAGGGACAGAAATGTTCCCAGCATCCACACGTTGTTGACACAGTCCCGAAACACAGTTGACAGAGCCTGGCTCTCCTGTCGAGAAACTTGCTATGGAACTGCAGCCCATCGTCCTCACAAAGAATCACTGAGGTCCCTCAAGGAGGAAGAGACTACAGGGAAAAGTGGCTCCACAGCTAGAAAAACAGTCTACATCAGCAGAACTTTGCTACTTCTTTTAGATGGCCATTCCATGAGGTAGAATTTCTTAAAAGGGCATTTCTGCAGTAATACTGCGTCTGCTTTTCTAATTACCCACCATTTGTGGTCTCATTTTTCACCTTCTGCTGCTCCGTTTACATTTTTTCACTAAATGTTATATATTAATCAACAATTAGCTCTAGATTTATAGAATACAGGAATAATTCACGTTAAGAAACATTTTCCAAAGAAACTATGTGCGTGTGGGTGCCTAGTGCATGCATTTACAGAAATATCTTTCACTCAGAGATGTAAAATACAGAGAAGTAAAAATAAAACCAAAAACAAAAAAAAAACCCGGCCTCATTGTAAGTACTACTGGGATTCCATTAACAATTCAATAATAGACAATGACCTCAAAGAAAATCATCTTAGAATATATATGTCTGTGTGAATATGTTGATGAAGAAAAAACAGGTACAAGTTACATTTGATGTTTCTTCTTTCCCTATCAAAATCGCCAGAATAACTTGTTTCTCTAAAATACTCATACCAAGTTTTTCTCTACGTACAACTGTACTTCTGGGAAAAAATATTTTTTCTTAGTAATTTGGGAGAATATTTTTAAATTGTAAATGAATTGAACACCGTCTGGAAGTTCTGAAAGCTGAAATATTGGTATCTCAGTGAAAGGGTGAGAAACAATTCATACATATTAATTCATTGACTATTTGACTCTAAGGCTAAGGATTAAATTCAGATCATATTATAAAAAATGTATTTGATCTTTATATGAATATTTGAATCTTACCTTGAACTTGTTCAGAACATCTCTCTCGGGCTTTCTCTCTCATTATTTTAGGGATCAAAACATCCTTTTCGACATGTCTGAGATGCTGCTCTGGAAAAAAAAAAAAAAAAGATCTTTCTTTAATATAGTGAAGTTTCAATTAAATCACCAGTTTAGGGAAGAAATAAGCACTCTGGTTTATTCAAAATAAAAGCCTATACAAACATACTAAAAACTGACTCTTAAAACCTCATAAAATTGTGGCTATTTTCGTCACTAAAAATCATTCTAAATATTTCTTATACACAACAGAAAAAAATGTGGGACATAGACAGTGTCTTTCTAAAAATTTCTGCAAGCTATATTGTAACACTTTATTTGATAACATATTCCACGCAATCTTGTCAAAATTAAAGTCATAAACTAAAACAGTATAATTTTGCTTTTTAATACAATCCACAAAAAGAGAATTTTTATCAATAGTGAGATCCAAGGATAGATGAAGAGATCCAAGATTAAGAGATTCTCAACCTGATAATAAGAGTAGCCTAAGAAACAAAGAACCGTCAGAAGAAGAAAAAGTAGAACTACATGTGCACATAAAAACAGCATGTGAGATTTCTGTGCATTTTAAACAAAACCACCACAATTAGACTAAAATGGTAGACAGAATACCTGCTTCAGGGTCCTACCAGTGTCTTAAATTCATAGAGAGTCCTGAAAAATAAAAGCTACTCCGATGTAGCTTGGGCCGGTGTCGTCAGAAAAATCAAAATGATCAGGAATCTCTTTGAAAGACAAAAGGCGGATGAGATCAGATTAAAGGAGGTAATCATATACCCACAGATTTTTCCGAGGGAAAAAAACTGATGCCAAAAGTAGGTACTGCTCCATGCACCGAAGCAGCAAACATGGGCAGCAAGAGACTTCCCTGAAGAAAACCAAAGCATAATCGGTTGAAATACCTCAGTAGGAGCAAATGGATCACCTCTTCTGCTGCCTCCAGACCCATGGGTAAAAGAAGTAAATACATGTATCTATCCCCAAAGGGTCAGAAAATTTCCCAGTATCTAGCGACACCTAGGAAGACCAGGAACCCCTCCACCTTCCCTGGTACTATGCGATTCCTAACAATCTCTGGATGCAGGCAGCTACGAACTGATAGAGAATCTGCAGACAGTGTAAAAGGGCATGTCAAAAAGCAAACAAAATCAACAATAAAACAGCCGAGGATCACCTAAATTTGATGGACAACACAGTGAAAGGGAGAAACCAACTGTAATGAATCAATAAGAATCCAAATCTTGAGAAGAGAGTAAAAAAAGAAAAAAGATTTTAGAGTAAGTAAATATACTGAGGTAAATAAACAGATGTGAGTCCTCAGACAGAAATGGATCAGAGATTACCTACGTGCACTCTGAAATGTCTGAAGCTCAAAAATCCGAAAAGCTTCAAAAGGGAGAAAACACTACCCTCACCGTGGAATGGGCATCAGATTTACATCATGTTTCACTGGCAAGCCATGGATGCATGAAGACAACGGAGAAGTAACCTCAAAGTTCTGAGAGTGCATTATTTTATAACCAAGAATCCCCAAACCAATTAAGAATGAAGTTCAGGTATGAAGGGACTGAAACATTTACCTCTCGCATACCCTACTGAAAAGAAGGGTATTGTTGTCTGATAAGCCACCAATCAAACATAGTGGTATAAAACAAACATTTTGTTATACAGAGAGATCCTACAGGTTAGTAATTTGGAAAGGAAAAGCAGAACTGACTCACTCTGCCTCACAGTATCTGGGACCTCATCTAGGAAGAGTCAAATGACTGGTATTGACTTCAACAGCTGCAAAAGCTGAGTCTGGAAGACCTACTTCGAAGAGGACCTCTTTCTTCACTTGTGTATTTGACATCTGGGCTGAACTGGCTGACGAACAGGCCCAGTGAGGACTGTAAACTACAGCACCTACACAAGGCCTCTCCATTAGGTTTGGCTTGGCACAGTAACAGGTAGGTCAGGAGAGGTAGGAATGTGAAAAGGAATTGTCTAGAGAGTAAGTGTTTCAGGAAAACCAAGTGAAAGCTGTAGGTTTAACCTTTCTGACCCTGTCACAGAAGCCATGAAGCATCATTATCATTTCTACGGTAGGTACTACATTGATCGGGTCGCCAAGGACAGGCTATACCCAAGCACAGGGAAATTAGGTCGCCATTCTTTCTTGCAAGGCCACATTACAGAAGAGCATGAGGAATGCAAGATAATGTTGTGACCTTTTTTTTTTAATTGTGTTTTTTTTTCAGTTTGTATATTTTGAGAGAGAGAGAAAGAGGGAGAGAGAGGAGAAGGAGCGCAAGCGAGCACAGGACGGGGGCAGAGAGAGAGAATTCCAAGCAGGCTCTGCATTGTCCGTGCAGAGCCTGATGCAGGGCACAAACCCACAAACCACGAGATTAGAGATTATGACCTGAAGTTGGACACTTAACCAACTGAGCCACCCAAGCGCCCAATGTTGTGACCTTGGTAAAACAAAATCTGCCACAAGAAGTAAGAGAGAATATCCTCAGGTAAAATAAAAATGAACTCACGATGCACAAATGTAATATAAAACATGAATTTAAATTTATATGTTAAAACTACAAAGTATCTGAACCATATCATCAATTAATTTGACCCATTTATAGAATATTCCACTTAATAAGAGCTGAATATTAACCAAGATAAACCACAGTCTAGACCATGAAAAATATCTCAATAAATTAAAAGAATTCAAGTCCTACAAAGTATGTTCCCCGACACCAACGTAATTAAGTTAGAAATCAGTAACAGGAGGATGTCTTAAAAATCTCCAAATATTTGGAAACCAAGTAACACACTTTAAAAAAATTTTTTAATGTTTATTTATTTTTGAGAGAGAGAGAGAGAGAGAGAGACAGAGCATGAGTGGGGGACGGAGAGAGAGAGAGAGGGAGACACAGAATCCAAAGCAGGCTCCAGGCTCTGAGCTGTCAGCACGGAGCCCTACACAGCACTCACACTCACTAACTGCAAGGTCACAACTTGAGCCAAAGTCAGACGGTCAGCTGACTGAGCCACCCAGGCGCTCCCTCCACCGCCAAATAACACACTTTTAAATAACCCATGCAGCTAAGAAGCAATCAAAAGGGAAATAAACTATTCTGAAATAAATGAAAGTGAAAATCTATCATAATTTGTGTGAGACAGTTAAAACAGTACTGAGAGGAAAATCTGTAGCACTACAAGTCTACATTGGAAAAGAAGAATGGTCTTAAATCAACGACTTAAGCTTCCACCTTGAGAAACCAGAAAAAGAACAAACTAAACACAAAGCAAACAAAAGAAAATAAATAATAAAGATCAAAGCCAAAACAAATAAAATAGAAAATAAACAAAATGATACAGAAGAGCAATGAAACCAAAGCTGGTGCTTTGAGAAGATTATTAAAATTGATAAACCACTCGCCAAGAAAAGACAGCTATCACAAACATTAAAAATGACACACATTTTGGGGGCGCTTGGGTGGCTCAGTCGGTTGAGCATCTGACTCTCGATTTTGGCTCAGGTCATGATCTCATGGTCCGTGGGATCGAGCCCCATGTCAGGCTCTGCATTGACACTGTGGAGCCCGCTTGGGATTCTCTCTCTCCCCATCTCTCGGCCCCTCCCCCACTTGCATGTGCACAGGAGCAGGCTCTCTCTCTTGAAATAAACTCTAAAACAATGATTTTTAAATGATAATGTACTCAAATAATCTTTAAATGTAAGCCAATAAAATTAACAGCACAAACAACCAAAGCTAACTCAAGAAGACATAGATAGAGAACCACTCCAGCCCTGTATCTATTAAAAAAAATGAATCAGGCCGTCTGGGTGGTTCAGCTCCTTAAGCATCGGAGTTTTAGCTCAGGTCATGATCTCACGGTTCATGGGTTCAAGCCCTGCGTTTGAATTTTATCCTGAGGAAAATGGGAAGATGCTACAAATTTTTAGGCAAGGAAAACCTTCTTTCATTTTCACTATGCTGACAGTGCAGAGCCTACTTGGATT